CCCCCGCGACCCGACCTCGGATAAGCGGATGAAGATGGATGGATGGATGGATGGATGGAGGGTCTTTGGCCCCTGGCACATTGTATTTGTGTAAAGATTTACTTCATGTGCAGGTACAATAAGGCTTAGGGTGTAATTATCCAAAGGAGAAAAACATAGACAGTTTTAGTTATATACCATAAAATTGATTTACACGTACAGGGAATGTTGCCTAAGCTGGCTTTAGATAGCAGCCTTTATCAGCAGTCACTGTCAAATAAAAAGATGAGACCAAGACATACCTGTGCTCCTCCTTTAGTGTTTTCTGCTGACCCCTAAAAGCTAGTTGAAGTTTGACACAAGGAAAAAAACCCCTAAATTTGTCATTTCTGCCTGCATTCCAGTCTGCTCTGGAACACAACTGAGAAAAAGAGCAGGTTTATATTTTTCTGTGATCTCCTGCCCAGAACTCAGGGGGAGGATCGTGGGTTTCTCTTCCTGCCCACCACTGAAGAAACCCTTTCCATGCTCTCTAACACCTCATCTTCCACATAATCGCCCAGCTGCTGTAGACACAAGCCATTGCTCAGCTCACAGTGCTGTTCCCCAGAGAGAGCCCCAGCAGGGCGAGCTAGCTTAACTAGCACAAAGCACTGGCTAGCTGGAGTCATTACTTATTCTGTCTGCTAAGTGGAAAAAGTCAGGTGGGATTTAGTTGCCCTTGCTTTGTGAAATCCGAAGATTAAATGGTCCTGCAGATGCCAGGTGTGGACCAGTGGAAACTATTCACTCCCTCTGCTCTAGTTTGAAAAAATGTTAATCTCTGACCCATGGGACTCAGACACAAGCTGGAATTATTCACTCTTTAGTACAGGAGTCAGTGTACAGACCGGGAAACTCCATCTTCCTTTAACCTTTTAAGAACATAGCAGTCCCGTCAGAGTGTTGTAGATCCGAGATCCTTTTTCTCTGTGGGAATCTCTCTGGATTATACTCTACCATTCATTTAAAAAAACAAAAACAAAAAACAGACTGTGCAGCTGCTGAAAAGTACTCTCACTATGGTTTTATGCAGGCACAAGAGTGACACGGTATCTTACATACAGTGACATATGTGGGTGTGGCAACCCCATGACAGCTGCTGATGCAGGCATTCTTGCATGCATGCCTCTCCCTGTTAGTGGAACATATTCAAGGTCAGCTCAGTTTCTGAGCATGTATTCTGTTTGTGAACAGGGGGGCTTTCAGAGTTAGGTTAGCAAATGCTAAATCACAGCAGCACATGGACCGCCTGCTATAAATTTTGCATTCAGATCCGAGTCAGGTAATCTTGAGAACCCCTCTGCTATTGTGCGCTTGCTTGCACTCTGGTGGCAACAGTCAATATTTCGAGGCTTCCAGCAGTTACTCGCCAAGACTTTCTGTTTGTTGTTATTGTTCACAGTACAGCTAGAATACAGATCCATTTAAGATAAAATGAAAAAGAAAATACAAAGCAAAATCATGGACGGACAATAGAAATTGGTGCTTAAATGGCTGTTTGGCTCAATGGCTTCCTGTTTTGCACCGTACATGGGCTGTTTTCCTGTATTCTGCCAAAGCCCACACAAGCTTAATTAGCCTAGCGAGCAAGGACTACAAACAGAATCCAGAAAACTTCTTCTATGACTACACACATTCTCATGTAGAGTCTTTATAAAGAAAATTGTATGTAATAAGAGTCCCTGCAACTCATTTGCTACATATGTACGTACAGACGGAGGATTTTACAGGCCTCTTAATGTCCTGCAATCCTGTATGTATACTGCCTAGCTGTCACAGGGCACAAGAGGCAGGGTACACCTTGGATACAGTCATGGAGACAGACAACCATTCACTCAAACTGTTTTAAAAATGTCTAATTCAGCCGATAATTTATTTAATAATGCGTTCTATCTAACACTTACACTCTGATTAATGCATTGGGAGCAACTTGGGATTCACTATCTTGGCTAGCAGCATTTGACTGGAGGAGCCAAGGATTGAACCACCAACATTCCAACTGCACTGTAAAATGTAATATTGTGTTTAATTAAAAATATTAAATAGGCTGAACTCAGTTTTTATCAATTTGTTATTAGAGCTCGATTTAAATACTTTTTATGCAAAAAACTCTGATAAACTCAATTTATTTGAGTTGTCTTAACTTAGAAAAACTAAGTAAGATGGAAGTTTTGCTTCTCAGTGCGGAAGGATGAAAGATGTGTTTTGAAAATGCCCCGTCACTACCGTCCTCCGTTCACACTATTGAGATCCTGTTTCTCTTTATTCTTTATCCTTTATTATTCTAGTTGCTCCGTTTCTTTGCCGCTTAACTACTCCCTCGGTTTTCACCGTTCAAACTTTAAACTGTTCTGCTATTTCTGCTTTCGACTGCTATATCTTTTGGTGATAATAACTTTTATACTTTTTGAGATATTCAGCTTTTTATGCCATTTTTTGGCCCATTTTGCTGTCAGAGACCACATTATCAGTGTGATCACCAGTTTTGCTTGCTGGGCTGAGCCCTGTTTTAGCTCAGTGAGATGAGCAGCCGTTCTCAGACCAGGAGGGCAGGGTTCGAATCCCGCTTATGGCAACATTTTCTTCAGAATCAGAATCGTGTGTATTGACCAAGTATATGTGCAGACACATACAGGGAATTTGGTTCCGGTAGATGGTGGCTCTCAAGCACAGCAATGTAAATCACACACACACACACACACACACACACACACACACACACACACACACACACACACACACACACACACACACGTCTATATATACACATACATACACAAAGCTGTGTAAACCAACTATAAATAACTAATCTAAACTTATATACATAAAATACAGAAATGAAATGAGGTGGAATGAATACTACAGAAAGTTAACACTTCAACTGTTTAAAGTCCTTTCCACACAAATTTCAGCTTTTTCACCTCTTTTTAGCAAAATTTTCAGTTTTTCACTACTTTTCAGCACAAATTCCAGCTTCTTAAGCTTTTTTTCATCATATCTTTGTTTTGAGGCCAGAACTGGTTAGGCGCAGTGGGCAGCACAGCTGCCGTGAGTTCTGGTGGCAAGGGTTCGAGTACTACATGTGACAGATGCTGCACATCTTCCCTGCTTGCATGTAATCTCCTTTCTTGACACTCTTCAGTGTAGTCTTTCAAAAAAAACAATACGCCAGGAGTTAGCTGTGCTCGCGGACTCTTATCAAGCCTTGGCCTCCCGGTCAGCTATTCCGCTGGTGGATAACAGAGCTCTCCAAAAACGTGGAAGCACTTTTGCAAATATGTGATATTTTGATAAATTAAGTAGATATTTGAGCATTACACAGCTACATTCTCGGCTGAAAATATCCTAAAAGGTTAGTCTATGCTCTCGTGTCAGGCGCTTCAGTAGGCTACTCATGCTATTAACAGCGGCCGATAGTTTTTACATATTACTGTAAGGTTCTTGTCTGCTTGTTTCAGAAAAGTGAAGAGACGGGAATATGTCCATTTCATAAAACAGCCACTCGCTTCAGCCGAGTCCGACATCTTCCGCTTTAGAATACGACTACGCAGCAAACTGGCGCAAGATGACGCGCAGCTGCACTACAGCGATGTTAAAGCGGCAGAATTTACTTTTACCTTTAGAAGATAAATTATTGAAATTAAATAATGATATTCAGCGTGTTTAATTATTTTACAATGTATCGCAAGTACATTGTAAGTAACTGTAATTAAAATACCTAAAAATGAACAGTAATCAGTTACTCTACTTTTTCAGTGGAAAAGTAATTTAATTACAGTAACGCGTTACACCCAACACTGCTCATAGGGGATACTGTACTTGCACATAGGATTACATCATTATCTGAAATGTTTATTACAGGAAGAAGAATCATCCAATATAACCTTAAAGTAGAAATCTGTCAAAGTCAGCTTAACCTTATTTTGCATGTCTATGTTCCAGGGCCTGGTGGTCACATGTCCAGGTACAGTCTCAGTTGGCTTGCTGAGAACAGCTTTGAGAGAAAGTACCAGAGTACAGAACAGCCGCGCATCCTTTGGAATTCAGACGTCTATAAAAATGCAAACATAACCTCATCCAAATGGGACACGTTCATGAGCTGTGATGACGAGCTAAAGAAATTTCTTCAAAATTATCTTCTGTACGGGATCGCGTTTGTAGACGATGTCCCAACCACAGTGGAAGCCACAGAGGCAGTAACCCAGAGGGTCAGTCTAATCAGGTATGCTTCTGTTGGCCTACAGATCACATTCTCATCTTTACGTTAACACTTCGTATCCAGTGGCGTCGTTCAACCAGCTGTCTGCTGATTATCCTCAATTTCATCTGTTTCTCACAAAGGGAGACTACCTATGGCAGAATGTGGTGCTTCACTTCAGATTTTTCCAGGGGAGATACTGCCTACAGCCAGTTGGCCCTGGACCGTCACACGGACACCTCCTACTTTCAGGAACCGTGTGGGTAGGTGCAGCAGAGATGGGGTTGTTGGTGTAACGTTGACTTCTCATGATTATGTTTGGATATTTGATGCTTCTGTTCGTTATGGCAGAATCCAGGTTTTCCACTGTCTCAAGCATAAGGGAACCGGGGGAAGGACGCTGCTTGTTGATGGGTTCTACGCTGCAGAAAAATTACGTCAGAGCTCACCTGAAAGCTTTGAGCTGCTTGCTCAGGTGCCCGTCAAGCACGATTACATCGAAAATACCGACAGGCACCAAAACCACATCACAGGCATCGGCCCCCTGCTCAACGTGTATCCTTGGAACAATGAAATGTATCTTATACGGTATGTTGATGCTGAAATTTAGTGTAGTTTTTATTTTTCTGATGTTGTGTTTAATTAGCGCAACTGATGTATTTACGTATTGACAGATACAACAACTACGATCGATCTGTGCTAAACACAATCCCCCATGACGTGGTTCAGCGCTGGTACGCAGCGCATCGAGAGCTGACCACAGAGCTGAGGAGGCCAGAGAACGAGCTATGGGTGAAGCTGACTCCGGGAAAAGTAAGATATGTGCAGGCCACAAAGTCAAAACATAAATGCTTCTCTGAGTTCCAACTAAAATGAATTCGTAGTCAAGTCACAGGACAACTTAAATGTCAGTGTTGCTTTGTAATCTGAGTGTTTTGCCCTGTCTTTTCCCCGTAAGGTTGTTTTCATAGACAACTGGCGAGTCTTACACGGGAGGGAGTCTTTCACTGGCTCGAGGCAGCTCTGTGGATGCTATCTGACCAGAGATGACGTCCTCAGTGCTGCCCGCTGCTTCGGGCTCCAGGCCTGAACGTGAAGTTTTCTTCACTTGACTGCCTTATCACTCTGCCCACAACACAGGTTTAATTAACACTGCACCAATACTGCTGGAGCATGTTTTATTTGCTCTTCTGTATTTTTTAATTAACATTTGATTTTTTTTTTTAAACAGTTTATGTGAAGTTAGAGTGTGAATGTGTCCCGAATTTTACTTGAAACAATGAAATGTCTAAATCCTCAAATGGCTTCCAGTTATTAAACTGTGTCGTGATGTGTTGTG